TTATCAGATCATAGCCGTTGATACAGTAGATTGCATAACATTTTTAATTTTATGTTGTCACTGGAATGTGTATAGCAGTTTCAGCTTTCATCATAATCTGCATGTGACTGGGCAGATAGCATTTCAAATAAATTACGTTCATAAATTCAGAACCTTCTCCAATGCCATAACGTAACTTTTCTCTGCTTTTCTATAAATACTTTCTTGGTAATTGTTCTAAGGAACTTTGGTACGCCGACTTTAGGAATTTATTCGCAATACTAGATTGGCGACATGGTTTCATAATTTTGCAGATGAAGGAAAGATAATCGCCTTCTGTATCCCTACAACCATTACCATTATTATTATTATTTCAGTTTCCTCAGTTCCCCTTACTTTTTAATCTGAAGCCTCAAGAGACTACAAGTCATCAGGTCATAATTATTTGTACAGTTTGTTGTACATATAACTTGTAGGAGAAAGAAAACAAAATGATGATCAGGGGAATTAAAAAGTGCAATGTGTCGCTCGCTCGTAGGCCAGCTATTTTTTCTTCTTCTTCGGAATGGATTGTGTGACTCCCTTTCTCGGCCGTTACACTGGTCAGTTGGGAAACAGACACCAAATCGGCCGTGCCTACTTCGACTTCCTCTTTGGTCGTCTGTGAATCCGTACGTCCCGCTCTATCGCACGCAGTCCGCCGAATGACTTCGGTTCTGTCGTGTTGCTGGCACCCCGCTTTTTATGCTATTCCAAGACGGCCAAAATTTGCATGTGTGCAAATATCGTCTCGTTTTGTACGAGATCGGCGCGCATGAATTGTGTCTTCAACAGCGGCCATATTTCTTTTTATCATCACTTTGCAGGCAAGACACGTTCGCGTTCGTTTCGAATTCTGAGGTAAGTCATGTCTTTCGTCACAACTGCTATTCCCAATATAATTTTTCTTAATTCTATGTTGTCACTGGAATGTGTATAGTAATTTAAACTTCCATCAAAATCTGTGACTATGCAGACAGTATTTCAAATAAATGAGTTTCATAAACTCAGTCCCTTTCCCACCTCCATAACGTAGCTTCCCTCTGCCTTTTCTATCAATATTTTCGTGATAATTCTTCTGATGAGATTTCCTCTTTGGTAGCTAGACTTTATGAATTTAAGCGCAGCAATAGAAAGTTCGAATACCAGTCGGGCTCGTTACATTCTCTTACGCGAAAAAACCCTGAGGAAAGGCATGAATCCATCATTTCTACTCCCAGTTATGAGTTGAATAGCAAAACAAAATCTTCCGTTATTCATAAAACGGCTGAGACATTTGATGACTGAAGATCCAATACGTTAAATTCCAGGATGACTTTACTTGCAAACAGATGTATGGTGTCAGAGGTAAATTTAACAGCTTAAAAAAGACCAGAAATTCAAAATAGGACACCTTAAGAAAAATTCTTGTAACGTCAGCCAACCAAGAAAGAGATACAAGAATAAAAAACGAGACAAAAAAAAAAAGATGTGGATGACAAATGAAATTCTTAAGGTGATGAGAAAGTGACAGTAATCAATACCAAGGAATGGTACAGAAGATAGAATATTAAGCACAACAATAAGGAATAAATGCAGACCACCAAAAGATAAATGATTCAAATGAAGAGATAAAAATAATCAGCATTGTTGATACGGCAGGCAGGCATAAAAGAAATGCCATAAAAAAATGGCGTATTTCTTGAGATTAGACATAAAAGCGAAAGAAAGAACGCTTATAATAGAGAAAGAAAAACCTTCAATGAATACATTGGAAAACTCTTCCGCGTTTGAGGGTTAATAAAAAATACATTTTATACTTATTTTATCGTCATGTAATGCTTTTTCCATCACTTCATTTTTTTTTCACTATTTACATTGTTCAGTCTGTTGTCATCATCTTTATTTATTCTGTATTTTGTATCGCTACAACCATTACTATTATTATTATTATTATTATTATTATTTCAGTTTGCTTTTATTTTATTTTACGAGCAAAAAAACCTTCATTTTAATCTGCAACTTCAAGAGACTGCAAGTCATCAGGTAATGATTATTAATAGAGTTGGTTTTTACATGTAACTCGATATTCCCAGTATAATTTTTTCTTAATTCTATGTTGTCACTGGCATGTGTATAATAGTTTAAGCTTTCATCAAAATCTGCTTTTGACTGTGTAGATAACGTTTCAAATAAATCATGCCGATAAGCTTCGTCCCTTTTCCTAACGCCTTAACGTAAATTCACTGCGCCTTTTCTCTAAAGAATTTCACGTTAATTCTTCTGGTGAGCTTTGTTACCTCGACTATGAATTTAATAGCATTACTAGATTGGCGCCAAGATTTCATGATTTTACAGTTGAAATGGATGTATGCAACCGTAAATTCTATGCTGACAGTTTCTTTTCTCGCATTTCTCCTAGGTTGGAACTCTCTTCCTGTTAAAATCTTCTTTATTAATTCCTCTTTTTTTTATTATTCCAATCAGCATTAATTTTCAAAAATTTAAATGCAATGTCAATCGTCATCTTCTGTTTTCTTAATTCCTCTTCTTTTATTGTTCTCTCTCCTTAATAGTCTTTTTCTTTTTCTCATATTCTTTCACAGACAGTAACCCTATCTGTCTTAGTGGCTTTATAGCCTTGCTTGGAGAGAAACGATTAAAATTTAAATGCAATGTCAGTCGTTATATTCTGTCTTCCAATTTCTTCTTTTTTTATTTTTCTCTCTTCTTCATAATGTGTTTTTTTTTCTCATATTCTTTCGCATTCAGTAACACCCCCCACCCTTTGCGTCTTAGTGGCTTTATTGCCTTGCTTGGAGAGAAATGATAAAAAAAATCTCCAGTATGAGCTGAACATAAACTTCCTCAGTAAACACTGATTACATTTTCTGTTCTGTTAAAAGTTAAGTATCTTGTATAGGTTAATGTTCTCAAATAAATATCATTGGGAAATGTCATTTTATTTATTAATCAAAAACGGAATTGATTAAAAAAGAATAAACAGAAACACACATACAAGAAAAAACAAAATCTTCCATCTTAGCGGCGCCATTATGACCACCCAGCTGGACCCTTGAGACGGATGTGAGTTAGGACATTTCCCAGAACAGCACGAAGACGTATTAAGGTTGTTCCCCTTTTCATATACACACAAAAAAACTAGATGAATAAAAAATGAATGGAGGAAGAATATCAAATCAATATTGAATGGGCGTAATTAAATCGATACCTACTAAAATCACTAAAGCGACGAGTCGTCTTGTAGATTATTGGATTGAAAACCCCGAAAAAATAAAATATTTTTGGATTTTACTAATTTTGACAGAAGACTATACGGTTATCTCCCTTTATTTTCAGTGTCTAAATCCCATGGTCGATTTATTGAAAGCTAGTAGATTGTTTTACTGTGTTGTTTTTTTACTGTTTATCAACCCTTTGGCATATTATTTAAAGCCAGAAAATATTTTAAGATTGTTGAGATTGCAATTATGTACTGATACAAATCCTGTTATTTAACCCATAGGAGGAAATAAAGGATACGGTTCGAAATTCCAAATAAGGCCGGAGCATACCACGGCCGAAACGTCGTGAATAACACAACAAAGATGAGGACAAGAGTCGGAATGATAAAAATAGTGTTGATATTTAAAATACATCATTTCAGAAATACATACATATCCTGAAGAAGGCCGGATCGTATAATGGCAGAAACGTCATGAATATAGCAATAAAGATGAGGACAACAGTACGACCGATGTAAATAGTATAAATAGTTACAACGCCACATCTCAGAAATATAGACAGATCCTGAAGAAGGCCGGGGCATGTAACGACCGAAACGTCGTGTATATAGGCAATAAAGATTAGGACAACAACAGTACGGCCGGTGTAAATATTGTAAATAGGTAAAATATCTCATCTCGGAAATATAGGCAGATCCTGAAGAAGGCCGGATCGTACAACGGCTAAAACGTCGTCAATATAGCAATAAAGATGTGGACAATAGTCCGAACAGGTTAAGTAGTGTAAATAGTTAAAATACCTCATCTCAGATATATTAGGTTTTGAACGCCCCGCTCCCCCGACTGCAAAAAAAGTAACCCAGAGGGAGTTCAATATGAACTTTAATCGGGCACAGGTGATCAACATAGGAGAAATATGAATGAAACGATAATGGCGAATCTAAATCATTCCGTTAAAGTATTTATTCACAAGAGTACGGCGTGAGGCAAATGTATGTCTTCTCCCTGGAATTATTCAACCTATACAGCAAGGCAATTCTGAGAGAATTGCAAACCCTACCAGAATTCAGCATTGGCGGCCACAATCTTACCAACATAAGATACGCAGACGGCATAGTACTGATAGCAGACACGCAAAATAGACTACTGTTAAGCTTGGAGAGTAATTATACATTCTTCTAGTTCAAAGTAGAGTCTATTAATGTTATAAAAACCTCGGATAATTCCAGTAAGATTTCTTTAATCATTTCTAGGATACAAAGGTTCAGAGCTTTATCGAACAGTTTTGACAAGTTAAACAATTTTCACGATTTTGCTCTTAAAATGGTATATCTTCTAACATATTAAAATAAATACATTCCTACTTACCAATCCATTACACTTTTATTGTTCTTTTTCCGTAATAATGTTTTCTTTTTCTGATATTTTCCCACACTCAGTAACCCCTTTGCGTCTTAGTGGCTTTATTGTGTTGCTTAGAGTGAAATGGTAAAAGAAAAAAAAAATCGTTCGTTTGAACAGACTGACGGAGTTGGTAGTCTCCACACCCGTCAACTATAAAATCAAGTTTGGTGTAATTGCAAAAAGCAAAGAGGTTAGGCTAACTGTTGGATGCGAAATAAAATATCGGTTTATATTTACGCAAGACAATTCACGTGGATAACAAATAAAAGCTTAAATGAAGACTGAATAATAAAGTCGTTGTGACAAATGGTGGATCAGTCATTAGTGTCAAGAAGGGTGTTGCTAACAGAGCGCATGCGTGCGACTGGAAGAAAAGCAATAAAATGTGTTGGTTACAGTAGTTTAATTGGTAAGTTTTTTTTTTTGTTTTTTTCGAGTGGGTATTCAAGTCTTATTCTGTGCATATCTATCTATCTATCTATCTATCTATCTATCTATCTATCTTTGATCTTATCTACTAATCTGTCTGTCGATATTTCTGCCTATATTCATATCTATCTATCTATCTATCTATCTATCTATCTATCTATCTATCTATCTATGTCTGTTCATCTCTCTCTCTCTCTCTCTCTCTCTATCTATCTATCTATCTATCTGTTCCTTTGTTTCTATCTATCTATCTATCTTTGTTCTTATCTATCTTTCTGTCTATATCTGTTCGTATCTGTTTATGTGTGTCTGTTCTTATCTATCTATCTATCTATCTATCTATCTATCTATCTATCTATCTCAGTCTGTTCACATCTATCTATCTATCTATCTATCTATCTATCTATCTATCTATCTATCTATCTATTCCTTTGTTTTTATCTATTGATTTTGTTCTTATCTATCAATCTATCTGTCTATCTTTCTGTCTATATCTGTTCATATCTATTAATCTGTGCCTATTCTTATCTATCTATCTATCTATCTATCTATCTATCTATTCTATCTGTTCATATCTAATCATCTGTTCATATCATATCTGTCAATCAATTTATCTATCTGTCCGTTTCTCTTCTCTCTGCTCTCCCCCTCTCTCTCTCTCTATATATATATATATATATAAATATATATCTGTATATATATACATACATACATACATATATATATATATACATATATATATATATATATATATATATATATATATATATATATCATTTTGACTATTAAAATATTTGCGTTCAATAGCCGCCAATTTTTCCAGGCCCAAGGCAGGACCATGGGGCCTAAAATGGCTTCCAGCAACGCAAATACTCTCGAACAACAATCGATATCCGCTTATTGTCTGGAATCCATTCTCAACACTAGATACATTGACTCCATTTATTTATATGAACACATGGCGTGGACGCTCAACATGGCACCAATAAATCTATAAACAATTACCACAAGAGCATGAAATTCCCGCTAGAATATTCTTCTGAATGGATTCACTTTTTTAGACGTATTAGTACGTAATACCAACAATAAGATAACCACAGTACTTTTCACGAAACCTGTAGACAGCCAGTTATTTAAATTTTGATAGTTACCACCCAAATAATCGAAAATAAAAATATACATTATCTATAGCCAAGGATTTTGCATCAGAAGTATTAATTCTAATCCTAAAGACTTCAATATTGATAAAGGCTCACACATTAACTACTTGAAGTAGCCTTCTTGCATTGGACGATAAACTACATCCGCGTCCTGGGTAAGACGATAAACGACATCTATATCCTGCGTAAGACGATAAAGAACGTCCGCGTCCTGGGTAAGACGATAAACTATATCCGCGTCCTGGGTATGACGATAAACGACATTCGTGTCCTGGGTAAGACGATAAACGACATCCGTGTACTAGGTAAGACGATAAACTACGTCCGCGTCCTGGGTATGACTATACATTCATATGGATGTTGTTTATCGCGGATGTTGTTTATCGTCTAACCCAGGGCACGGATGTAGTTTATTGTCTTCTACGATAAACTACAACCGCGTTCTGGGTAAGACGATAATATATATTTTTGATGAAAAGATATTATCAGGAATAAATTTAAAAAAAAAAATACCAGCAATACATTTTTGAAGGAAAAATATTACCAGAAATAGATTTTTGATAAAACAAAATATTACCAGCAATAAAAATTTTGTCGGCATTAAATAACCCGTAGAGGTTGATAAGCCGTAAAACAAACCAAACCAAACCAAACTTTAAATAGAAAATACCCCATTAAAATAATCAAAGACCCTATTTCAAAAACTTTCTCATACACGAGAAATAATGTCCAGTCAACAGAATCAATAGGCATCCCTCACGAATATCCATGTTTTCTTTTTTTCATTTTAATTATAAGATCATCTGTCTTTTCTACAGATATTTTCAGGGCAATTGCTCTGAAGAGTTTATTTTTTCTCCTTGGTTTCCCGAATGTATGAATTTAAGCGTGCTACTGGATTGGCATCTACATCCCACTCGTTTACTGTTGAAATAGCTACCGTATATACTGGCGTATCATGCGAATTTTAAAGACTTAATTTTGAAGCTAATTTTAAGAGGGTCGTATCATATACAAGATTTAAAATTAGCGTATGTACTGCTGGCCCTGGCTAAGCTGTTGAACAAATTATATATCCATTTACAGCAGTCAAATTAGCTTCAAAATTAAGTCTTCAATGTTTAAATCCGAGGATGCTTTCAGGTAGTTTTCAGACATGCTGTCTCCTTTTTTGAAAATACCTTCGCTCTCAGTGACAAGAGGAAGAGCAAGAAGTACTGCAATGCTATGCCATCGAGCCCAGGCCGGACGTTCAGCTACAACTACGGCGACCGTGTATGCCTGTGCCACATTGGAAGCAAAGTGTACAGTCTCCCTCTATAAATAAAGAATATAATTTTTTGAAATGCACAGAAACTTTATGGACATTTTTATATATATATATATATATATATATATATATATATATTATATATATATATATCCGTTTAGGTGAAATATATATATATATATCCGTTTAGGTGAAACCTAGAATAGGTTTGCCTGGCTCCTTAGGATTATCATAAGTTTTGCTCTACTTAGTGTATTGAGGACTTTAAGTAGTTGTCTTTTACTCGTTTTGGAGGGCTTTTTTCTTTGGACTTGGAGCTTAAACACTGGACGATTGTTTTCGCCTTATTTTAATGTTCTTGGTTATTTCTTTTTTTATTTCTCATTTTTCCTCTGGTACCAATTTGTTCTACGGCAGGTTGAGCTATCCAGAGGTTTTTCCAAACGAGTACTATATATATATATATATATATATATATATATATATATATATATATATATATATATATATATATATATGTGTGTGTGTGTGTGTGTGTGTGTGTGTGTGTATGTGTTTTTTTTAAAAAATCCATTGAACAGGTCTGTCGTTAGAATGAGACCAAAATCGGCTAAGAACAATATGGCATTGTTTAAAACAATGGAGCAAGAAATGCTGTTTTTATTATCAGATGCAAAAAGACCCATACCTATGTTCTGTAGGCTTGCTTGGTTTAAAATATATTTAATGTATAGTTCGACCCCCTGATTTATTTTGTGAATATCCTGTTTTTTTTCATAAGGCTTGTGTATAATGCGATCCCTGATTCTGAGCAATATTTGTAAACCTACTGTAGACAGATACTGCAGTCCAGGACATGTTTTTATAGCAAATAAACGGTCTTCGTTCTTTTTTGTACAAAGGTACCCCAAAATGTTATGATAAACCATTTATGGTAAAATATCTGATATGAAGATTTTGTTGACGACGTAGCTCCATAGAGTAACAGAAAGAAAGAATCTAGCCTACAGGATGCAGAATGAAGAAGCTTACCTATATCATTAAGGGTAGCAAAAGGTACATTATGGTCACCGAAAATGGGCTTTGACCTCTTCGAAAAATGATATACTCTAGGATAAAAAAATACCATTCATCTATCGATCTATATATATATATATATATATATATATATATATATATATATATATGTATGTATATATAATGGACTCTACTCCACACCACACCTCGCTACCCTCTCTGTTAAATTACATAAACTTAATACTACACGTCAAAAGTGTAAATTTTCATTTCATTTTCGTTTCACCTTTTGAATGTGATGTCTGAAGATACAGGGTACTTTAAAAGGTCTCTGGTGAAATAAACTATTACAATGGTTTTAAAGTGGTCTGTTTTTTCTTTAAATTATTAGCTCTGAATTTACATTGAGCTCTCAGGATTTCATCCTCCTTGGGACTACCATACGGATTACCAAGTTTTTCGTTATTTAATTAAATATATATATATATATATATATATATATATATATATATATATATATATATATATATATATATATACCGTATATTCTCGCGTATTATGCCACTTTTGAAGACCTAATTTTGAAGCTAATTTTAAGAGGGTCGTATGGTGCATCATATATAAAATTATCATACGTTCTACTGGCCCTTCAAGATCTATAAACAATTGCCACAAAAGCATGAAATTCCCTCTAGAATATTCTTCTGAATGGATTCATTTTTTAGACGTATTAGTAAGCAACACCAACATAAAGATATCCACAGTACCTTTGGCGGAACCTACAGACCGCCACAGATATGTTTATCGACGCCCACTACGTACATCTTTGCCGTTCTCGGTATAGTGCCACACCCTATTTTTGTCGTAAAATCCGATCATAAAACCTTGTAGTATACACGTGTCTAAACGGTAAATACATGATCCCTTTTCCTTAAAACAAACTGCCTAAATCATAAAAGCCTCTAATTAATAACGTATTCAGATAATTTCCAAGACGACCAAAGAATTTAATATCTTTATTCACTTCTTCCAATTCTTTCCTTCACCTTTTTCAACGACGCCATCTTGATGTTCCTAACTATTTTTTTTGTTTCTTTGTTTTCCTATTCGGGAGTGGAGGGAGGACGAGTTTAAAATTAGGAAATGTAAAGAAGAAAAGGTGGTGAAAGGAAAAGAGAGCAAGAAATGTTTCTGATCGTAATTCCTATGACCAACGAATGTGTTCGATATATATATATATATATATATATATATATATATATAGAGAGAGAGAGAGAGAGAGAGAGAGAAGTTACGAAGAACTTGGTAAACCGAATGGGTAATTCCAAGGAGATATGAAATTAACCCTCCCTATATTCTAACTTGTCTCTTTAACTACAACTATCACCCTCCCTGTTAAATTACAAAAATTACACTACCCATCAATTTCTAATCCCATTTTTCCTTTCATTGCGTTGTTGGAATTGTTACCTGATGATCCGGAGTCCTTTAAAAAGGATTTTGGTGAAATAAATTATTGTAATGGTACCTTAAAGTGGTCTGTTTTTCATTTATATATATATATATATATATATATATATATATATATATATATATATATATATTTTTTTAAAAATATGATTCCTTCGCTACATAATATAATTATTAAAATTAAGCTGAATTAAGGTGTTGGGTCCCGTTTCAGCCTCAAGCGAAAATTTAGGAATAAGCTATCTAGTGGTTTAAGTATGGTCCATTGCAACATTAATTCATATAGAAACGGCTGGTCCGGCCATCTTGGTTAGGTAGTCAGACAGTTAATTCTTATCTACAGATTCGTCACCTTCGGAAAGGTTATGCCAAAGTAGAGTGGGGTATCTATTTCAAAGCTAATGGTGGCGGTCAACATCTAGTTAGTTTACAGCGAAGGAATATTTGATGGCGCGACGTCAAGTCGTTAATTGTCGAGAGGATTTTGTTTTATTATTATCTATCTGTTAATCTCTTTATTTATTTGTTTATTCAAATGGCTGTTCCATATACAAACGTGTTGCGCTGAACCACAATTTGTTTTTTGACGACTTCACAAAGGGTTTTTTTCTATTTAATGATTTGGCTAAGCTTTTTAAGACTTTTATTAAACTATGGAATTT